AATTACGTTATTTTTCTCACTACCGCTTGACATCTTACAGAATAGAGGTAATATTCAGTTTGTTGTCATATCACTGTATACCTGGTTTTCCTCAGTCAGTCTCACTTCTTGGGTTTCTGTTTTTTTCAACATTTTATTTGCAGTTGTCACTATAAGGATATTTTTTAAACGTTAGCAGACCTATTCCAAGTAATTACAAGTCAGCAGAACATTGCTGTCTTCAGATATTTGTGACTGGTCGCTGTAATTTTTTGAAGACTATTGTAGAACCTACCTGCTTATGTTGATTAGTTCATTGTGCATCATATTGAATGTTTGAATGCTCTGCAGTTATTTGACACTTCATCTCTTCAAGTGAATGCTTTTGAGCGTTAGTCATGTTACTTTTAGGTTTGTGGTTCAATGAGAGCAGTTATCCAGCGGGTAACTAAAGCTGCTGTTTATGTTGAAAATGAACTGGTACGTTAGTAACTTTGAGCCTGTATTTTTGTAGGTTTAACGATCAGATTTTTAACACTCATACATTTTTTATGGGAAATATGATTGTTTTTCGAAGGTGTTCCATTTTTTTATTTTCAGGTTTATTCATTTTTGCTTGGGAGGATTTTTGTGTCATCTCTTTTTTGAATTAAAACTATTTAGCTGTAGTTCTTGTCCGGTTCCGATTCTTCTTTTTTCATTTTCTGGAGACATTTAAAACGAAGATTTGAAAAAAAATTTTTTGAAAGGCAGTTTACCAGCGTCTTCTAAAGATTAACGGTTTGATTTAGAACTTACTTTTTTTGAATAAAATCCGTTAATAGCCGTTTCTAGTTTTTTACGCTTGGGAGTAATTTTGCACCTTGTTGAGTGAGCTGTGAAAGCAACTTGAGTAGCTTCATAGTAAATGCTTTGAATTTCCATGAAAATCGTTTTTGCCATGTGTTGTAGAAGTATTTTACCGGTTGAAGAACTACTGAACTAAGTCGGTTTATATACTTTTATGAATTAAACGGCTTGGGTTTTAGATTTCTTCGATAGGCCCGGGTATTTGTGCACTTATAGGAATCGCTGATGGCGACGGCCCGACAGATCTTGAATATATCGTCAGGAAATTAATCAACCTTCGGTTGTTTCCAAACGACGAAATAGGGAAACGATGGGACAAGAGTGTAAAAGATAAGGAGTATGAGATTTTATGTGTTAGTCAGGTGAGTTTTTGCCT